TTTCACACTGACAGCCCTTCTTCTTGTGGGAGGCTTGGACTTGCCAGATATCTGCTGGAAACTTACAGGAGGCAGGAGGGGGTCTAGGAAATTCCTGGAGAGTGTGAAAGAGAACTTCCTGACAAAGCTGGTAAGTGAGCCTACCTGGGGTGGTGACCCAGTAGACCTTGAAGCTGGATATCAGGAAGAACTTCTTCACAGCAAGGGTTGTTAAATGTTGGAATGGGCTTTCCAGGGAGGTGGTGGAGTAATCATTCCTGGGAGTATTCAAGAAACCACCAGATGGGGCAGTCAGTGCCATGGTCTACTTGACAGTGTGATGATCAGTCAAAGGTTGGACCTCAGATTTCAGAGGTCTGTTCTAAACAATTATGTGATTCTGAAAACTGCCTCCTTGTCACCCTTGCCCCCCAGGAACTGCACATGTCCAACAAAATCCCAGGATGTCATTCCTATTTCCCAGCCCTGTGCAAGAGACGTAGGCAGTTGGCTCATTTTCTGAGCTCCTGATGGCAACTGCAGAGAGGAGGGAGCAGAGCCTATGCTGCAAAAGCAAGGACATGTTTCATACACTGCTCAGCCACAGCTTTGCCTTATGGCTCATGTCCAGTCAAGGTCCAGCTCTCTTCCAGAGACAAGGCAGTGCTGAGACCCTCTGCAGAGCCTTGACATCTTGAAAATGTTGGTACAGGTAGGGAGGCCAAGGGATGCTTGAATTTGGCACATCCCCTGATCAAGTACTGCCAAGAATGCTTCTAAGGTCTTCCTGCTGGCAATTAAAGCTGTTAATTCACACAAAGGAGCTACCTGTGGAAATATGGCATAAAGCCCATCTTTTCTTGAAAGCAAATCTACTGCCTAGCAAGGGTCTCCTTGGCAAAAGCAGATATTGTTGACATATAGGAAATTAAGCCAGGCTTGGATTTAAGTACGTTTTTTTCTCTCCTTTTTTTATAAGTAATGGTAATAAAATTTTAAGTATATGCATTCATTTGGAAAGTTTTAAGCTTAACACACACTACCCAGCACTCTGAGATATCTAGGTCTAGGTATTCAGGACTGAGTCAGGCCTTATGCACAGTGTTGACATGGATCCCTGCAATATAATGTACCAGGTGACTGTTTAGAGCACTAAGAAGGCAAAGGACATTATTTGGTTTAGTTGCTGGTGGGCTTGTTCCTGAGCTTGCCTAGCACTTTTGAAACAAGATTAATCTCACAGACTCACTTGCATTGAAGGCAACAGTGATTATGTGTTCCCTCATTTATTGCCAGGAAGCATCTGAATAACAAACACGTAGAAAGTATGCATGAAAAAGCAAATACAGCATTAAAAGCTATCAGCTTATTACTTGAGAATGGACAATAGGATATCCAGTCGCAATAACGTCCAATAATAACACAAAGCTGAGGTCAAGATTTTTGGATCTCGGCTATATTGGCATTTGTTCCTGCAAGGAAGAAGGGAAAAAAAATGTTAAGTGAGGTTCCCACAGACCTTAAAAAGCAGAAACATCTGTTGCTGTTATGAACAGCTCGGATGCTGAGTTCAGCAGGAGAAAGTCCAGCAGCTAGGCCAGGTCTCTTCTTACCACCACATGCCTCTGTGCTCAATGGGAAATGATCAGAGACAGTTTCAAGGGACATATCAATAATTCAAAACAGCCCAAACTAGCATAAACAAATAAGAATTAGTGCTCTCTTCTTTCTCCTGCCAGCACGACTGGAAGATGTTACTGATGCCTTAAATGTGCAGTCTCAAGCACTGTTGTCAGAGCTGTCCCCAGCTGATGAGCAGCTCCACATTGTGCATCTATTTCATTTTTTTAACAAACAAGTTTGAGCTGAAACACTGACTAGAAATTCTGAAGAAGTGGGTCTTGTTCTCAGTAATACAATCTTCTGTGGGGCTGGTGGAAATGGCAAGTTCTTATGGACTCAGCTTTTCTGAAGTTAACCCCCATTTCAATGATCCATTATTTGCTCTTTCTAAACAGATCTTCGTACCTTGGGTTTTCTGTTTTCAGCTTACACAATAAACATATCTTCTAACATTGGGTGACATGCAAATGTCAGAGATGCTGTTTTGATATTGTACTGATGCAAACTATGCTCTATGAAACTCCTTAATCAGAACCTCTTTTTTAAGCAAAACCTTTTGGCAAACTGCTCTCAGCATTTGCCCAGCAAGTAGCATGGGTAAATATTCACAAAGACAACACTGCTTCTACTTGGAAAACATCAAACTGCATGAAGGCTGTAGAGACCATGAGTATTGAAGGAAAATGAGGAAAATGCTGATGACTTGGCATTTTGTACTGCCTAATCTCTTAAATATTGCATGTGGAAGCCTCACAGAAGTAAAGTCCTCTCAAAGGAAAGAACTTCTCTATGCCAGATTTCTATGTAAAAACAGATTTCCAAATACAGTGCTTTATTTTGCTTTACTTTTTTTACTAGGAAAACCTTCCAGTGCTGTGCACAGCTCAAAAGCAAAGGGAAATGAAGTCAAGACCTCTGGACTTGAAGGAGTGAATCTTGGCCCTGCTTTCTCTTCACTCATGTGCTGGCATTGACCTGGAGATCTGCCTCCTTGCAACTGCCAGCATAAAGAAACTCTTGCCCAATTTCCAGGGAGAAGGGACTTATGAGACTGGAAAAAGGGGGGTTTAAAGGAGCACAGTCTTTGGAGCATGGATTTATTCCTTAATTTAGTCATTGATGTTATGGAAATATACTGAGCTGTAAGCAGACAGATTTTTTGTTTTATTAACACATTGAAGGAATGGACTTAAAGATAAGAATACGATGACCTGCAGTTTAGATTTGTGCCATAACATTTGTGAGGACAGAGGGTTAAAGAAAAATGTGCCAAGAAACAGAGCTACCAGATACCGAGTTTGACTGTTAGACATGTATTTCTTTTGGCAACAATGATATTGTAAGAAAAAACTTTTTTTCTCCGTCGCTCCCAAACCACCCTCACTTTTTGTTGTTGTTGTTGTTGTTTAAGAGCTCCTTGCATGAACACCAGGTCAAACACATCACCACATGCAGCACCTGGTGTGGTAAAACACAGCATATCTGAGGACATCAGATGCCAGGAGGCAACAGAAGGCAAGGGCTGGTTCAGCCATTGCTGCAGAAAACCCAAGTTTATAAAAAATCAGCTGGGGCTTCATTTTTAGGTATTTTCCAGAAAGTGACTTCCACATTATACTGAGTCTGAGATAATCCAAAGAAAACATGTCCTGTGCCTGCCTACACACCTGACTTTCTGACAACATCATCTCTTGCAGTACCTTCTATCTCCACCTGGTCCAAGGATGAAGACAGGATAGTTTAATTTTTGCAGAAGAGCTGGAAAGACAGAAATTCCAAGAGAGCAGCCCACCTACACTCCTGTGCTCAGAACTGTTTGACAACTCTGTCTTTGCACAGCTTTTAAAGCAAAGGAAGAATCACAGGCTCTGCCAAGTGGTCTGGAGGCACTTATGTTCACACGTCTTGGGACTAGCCCTCTCTGAAGCAGATTGACATGTTGATTTCTGAGCAGTTTCTTTCCTTTGGGAAACATATGATATTCCACTTGCTCTAAACCAACTGGCTAGGATATTTTGGAGTGGGAAGAGAAAGAGGGATAAAAAGGAGGGTCACTTAAGCATCTGAATTATGTCAGGGCTGTGATATTGCCCACCAGTATGCTGTTTTTACTGTAAGTTAGGGTTAGCCATTGCATGCATGCCTGGAAGTACTGTCAGCAGTGTCCTTGGGGGACATCACCAGTGGGGAAAGGGAAGGGATTGTTCTGCTCTGCTCTGCACTGGGGTGGCTTCACTTCAAATGCTGGGGGCAGTTTTGGGTGCCACAATATAAAAAGGCATTAACCTGTTAGACAATGTCCAAAGGAGGGCCATAAGGGTGGTGAAGAGCCTGGAGGGGAAGCCATGTGAGGAGTGGCTGAGGTCATTTGGTGAGTTCAGCCACAAGAGTGAAGGAGATGTCACTGTGGCCTTCAACACCCTCACAAGGGGAAGCAAAGGAGCAGGCACTGATCTCTGCTCTGTGGTGACCAGTAGCAGGACCCAAGGAAATGGCCTGAAGTTGTGGCAGGGGAGGTTTAGGTTTGATATCAGCAAAAGGTTTTTCCAGCCAGAGGGTGTTTGGGCAGTGGAACAGGCTCCCCAGGGAAGTGGTCACAGTACCAGCCCGGCAGAGCACGAGAAGCATTTGGGCAATGCTCTCAGGAACATAGTGAGACTCTTGGGATGTCCTATGCAGGGCCAGGACAGCCCCAAAATGAGCAAGCAAAACATCCTCTGACACAGCTTCATGTTGTAAATATTACATTTTCTTTACACATATGTGCCAATCCTGGAATAGAATTGACTAAGAAATGAGAAGTCACTGCCTAGAGATCTCAGCTCAATACCAATGCAAGGTTCTCAGAAAACAACTCTATTCTAAGAAAAAAAACTTCAATCAGAGACCAAAGTGGAAGGGAAAAATCTCCCACCCTTTCCCCAGCTCCCACTGCACTAGGAAGCCTTGTCTTATGCAAAATTAGCAACACACAGCATCAGAAGTCCTGGATAAGTTTAGATTCTTTACTTGATGTGATACAGATACACTAACAGTGGCCTCTTCTGAAAGGGTCTCTGCAACCTGATCAATATAGTATCTTCTGTCCATTCCCTGTCCATGGGGAATGGAAACATGAAGGAGTAGGCACTTCCACCTTGTTCTTCACTACATGGACAACAGAGACACTCACCAGCTACTGTAGCCTCCTTCACAGATGCAAATGAGTTTTGCCAAACAAGAAGAAAAAATTCCCAGAAAAACCAAACAAAAAATAAAAATAAAACAAAACAAAACAAAACAAAAAAGAAAACAAAAACCCCAAAAGAGAACCAAAAACCCCAAACCCTCAAGAAGAAACAAACAAGGAAGAACAAGAGTGACATCTTAACTGTTTATGAGTTGATCATATGAGGAACCATTACAGTCAAACTGTTAAACTGAAGCTTGTAGATTAATCAGTTATAGATCTAAGGGATGAAACTTAAGGAACGTCCCAGTTGGTCTCCCTCAGTGTTTCCAACTTTCACAGTTTCTTATTCAGCTTTAGTGAATTCAGCTTTCAGATTCAGTGTTTCTCAAAGTCCCACCTCCTGAAGGCAAATGATCTGAAATGAGAAGAGCAGGATAAAATGCTCTAAGATATTCCATCTGCTTTAATTTCAGAGAGACACAAGATATTGTGATCTGAGCACTACCAGATGGGAACTCTCTCAAAAAAGTGGGGTTTTTTTCCCATTAGAAAATGCTGACTTGTTAAAATTTAAACCCATCACAAAACTCTAACAGTTTTGACAAAAGTTCTCAGATCCAGATTAGAATCATTGGTCATCACATAAAAGGGATTCCAGAAGCAAGTAATTTGGAAAAATTGCTTTGAGGCAAGCATCTGTGGGTACAAGTTTACACAATCTATAAGACCAAGACCCACCAGTACATGTAATTTAATTGAGGTCATCAAAAAGCAAAGGAAGAACTCTAGCCTGTTCATCTTTCTGGATTGGTGCTATTTTTCCATGTCAGGCTTTGGCCTGAGGCTAGCAGATAATATTTATTTTTGAGCAAAACCCAACACACGGGGGCTGTGACTGGAACTCAACAAAACAATAAAGTGATCATAGGCACTTTAGCACAACTAGTTTCACTCTAAAATACCTCACTGCTCTCATTTCCCTCCTTGACTACCTCTAAAGTGCACCCACTGCCAAAATTTCTTATTTCTGGCAAGTGTCAAAGCATTTTCCTGGTATGTTGACATACCAGTTGTGCTCCATTTTGAATTTCTCTGGTTGTTTCAATACAGATGACTCCCACTTGATCTAGGCCTCTTTCTTTAGCTAATTTTTGCCCTTATGAAAATGTGTATCCTGGCTTTCTCTGTCAGAACTAAGGTCACTGAAAGAGAGGGGGGAAAATTAAAAAAGAAAAAAAAAGTACTCCACAGAAATTAGTCACCTTCCAACATTTAACACATACAGCCTTGCCAAGCCAGAAAATGAATAAAATATTAGAGTACAGGTCAGAAGACAGAAAAGGGATATTCCTTCCTCTTTTGGTGTAATATTTTCTAACACCATTATGATTCAGTGGTGTAATATTTGTTGATTAGCAGAATCACTCAATAGTGAGTGATCCACCTGCAATAGTCTGGCAGGAATGTGTTGAAAAATCATTTTTAGAAGTTTTATAATTTGCCAGATACAGGGAAGAGACACATTTCTGCAGTAGAACGTAGTGTTGAGCATCCCATTCCTGAACCGACCGTAATTATTATTTGTGTGAGGGTTGGTGTCTCAGAGGTGGAAGTAGTAATTTTGGTGAGAAGAATTCCCTTTTAAGTCCCAACTTGCCAAAGAAGTTGTCAACCAAAACCAATACTACATATGAACACCACTGAGAGCACATAGACTCCCACTATGATGCCATCAGCAGCAATCATTTTTATGACTCTGGTGTCCAGACCACTTGCAGGACACACGAGATCTAGCATCAATTTAAATGGCACCAACACTATTATCCTGTCAAGTATTGCTTAGAAAACCCATGCAAAAAGCATGATGTAATGATTGGGACACAGACTGAAATTTGAAATTTTGGCAGGTAGTCAAAGTGGCATCAAGAAAACAAGAATTACCTTTTTGTGTGTGTGTGCTGAAAGAATCAGGACAAAAAAAAGGTGGCTCTCAGGAGTTCATAATCTCTTAGTCTAGAGTTATGCCTTTTTGGCCAGCTGAAATAAGTAATAATGTCATATTTGGGCTGAACAGCCATAAGGAAACCTCAGAGAATAGAAAGAGCTGGTACAAAGGAATACAACCAGGAATACTTGGGTGTGGAAAGTCTTAGGAATCTTTGTAGAAATGGAAAGAAGAGGGCTAAAAGTAAAATAGACGTGCAGTCACAGTTTTATGAAATCAGTACAGAAAACACTCTTCTGCCCCTAAAAAGGAATATTTTCTGTGTACTGGCATACAGATCCCCAGAAGATCTTTATTCACTGAACAGACTTCAAGCACACAGCACACATATAGCTGCAATCCCACAGTCATACCAGCATTTTAAATCTACAGCACCTAGAATAAACCAGACTACTTAAAATAAGCCCCCAGACAGTCAAAGGCACACAGCTGCCATGGGAGTGCTCTTGCAAGCAAGCAAGAGTGATCTCATTTCATTCCCATGAATTTGATTTTTACATGAAAATAGCTTTTGCACATACACATTCAGAACTCTGAAGAGTTTCATATTGATTTCTTGCTTTAAACAAATTTATTCTGTACTCATATAGCAGAATGGCTACTGTGCTTTTTCAAGTTATTGTAAAATCTTTCAGCATCAGCTATGTTAATCTGTAACATACACTATGCAGCTTGTCGCTGATAAATCAGACATGAGAATCAAACATTTTGCTCACATAAATGTGGCAATTACTGCCATGGAGATGGCAGATATTGTGAAGGAGACAGATGTCACTCATTACACACACTTCCTTCCACAGAGCTGCATTATTGCTTTGTACACTGCAGACAAGTTTGGCAACATTTCTCAGTCAATGTGGTTTGCCCATGCACGAAAACTGGGGAAAATTTGTTATTGCAGATTATCTCATTATGTAGATTTTTAGCATCAGAACAAAAATAACTCCTAGGCTAGAACTGCTATTCCATATGGGAAATATTCTCAACACAAATCCACTACAATTTTCCCTTCTCACTGCCCTGGCTTTGTACTTATTTGAGGCACTAAGCTTGATCCATGCCCAAGCTATGGAGCAGTCCCAAATGATGGAATCAAAAGTAACTCTCTCCCCCTGAATTTAAGAAAGGTGCAGAGATCATTTAAGTTATATTGTGAACAACTACCCTAACCTTGATGTAGCTGGACCAAATCACTCACAGAACTCTCCATCTGCAATTGGCTGTGCATGTAATGACCATCAAATCAACATCAAAGTGCTCAGTCAATCTTTGACTCTTATATCTCAACAGAAATTAATAGCGGTGATATTTTTAAAAGCCCAACAATTACTGGAGGACAGAGTAGCAAAGTCTGGCTTTTGGCAGCACAGAAGTTAATCCTTCCTACAGCTGCAGGTGTATAGTTTATCACCATGAAAATGTGATGAGGAAGTGATTTATTGGTACTCTTCTTCAGAGATGCAAATTAGAAAAAATAATTAAATGACCCAACCAGTGCCACACAAAGGCTCTATGGCAGATCCAGGTATTGAATATCTTTTCAGCCCTTATCTAGGACTATAAAATTATTTCAGAATAAGAAGCAACATTGTAAAGACTCAAAACACCTCACTGACTTTTTGAAAATCTTTTCATACCAGAAAAATTCTTAAGAATCTTGACTAGTCTATGTAGAGTTGGTTTGCTTTTGATACTCCTAAGATCTTAGATACTACTTGTAGAACAGGTATTGAAGAGCAGAGATATTTAACACAAAAGGAGTTATCTATAGGCATGGAATAGAAAAAAGTTACACCTTTTCACTGAAAAGGCACATTGCAGAGAGCTGAAAATGCTACATCACATAACAAAGACACCCTACTCTCCCCATCGGTTCTTTCTTTTCTTTTCTTTTCTTTTCTTTTCTTTTCTTTTCTTTTCTTTTCTTTTCTTTTCTTTTCTTTTCTTTTCTTTTCTTTTCTTTTCTTTTCTTTTCTTTTCTTTTCTTTTCTTTTCTTTTCTTTTCTTTTCTTTTCTTTTCTTTTCTTTTCTTTTCTTTTCTTTTCTTTTCTTTTCTTTTCTTTTCTTTTCTTTTCTTTTCTTTTCTCTTCTCTTTTGAGGCACTAAGCTTGATCCATGCCCAAGCTATGGAGCAGTCCCAAATGATGGAATCAAAAGTAACTCTCTCCCCCTGAATTTAAGAAAGGTGCAGAGATCATTTAAGAAGTTATATTGTGAACAACTACCCTAACCTTGATGTAGCTGGACCAAATCACTCACAGAACTCTCCATCTGCAATTGGCTGTGCATGTAATGACCATCAAATCAACATCAAAGTGCTCAGTCAATCTTTGACTCTTATATCTCAACAGAAATTAATAGCAGTGATATTTTTAAAAGCCCAACAATTACTGGAGGACAGAGTAGCAAAGTCTGGCTTTTGGCAGCACAGAAGTTAATCCTTCCTACAGCTGCAGGTGTATAGTTTATCACCATGAAAATGTGATGAGGAAGTGATTTATTGGTACTCTTCTTCAGAGATGCAAATTAGAAAAAATAATTAAATGACCCAACCAGTGCCACACAAAGGCTCTATGGCAGATCCAGGTATTGAATATCTTTTCAGCCCTTATCTAGGACTATAAAATTATTTCAGAATAAGAAGCAACATTGTAAAGACTCAAAACACCTCACTGACTTTTTGAAAATCTTTTCATACCAGAAAAATTCTTAAGAATCTTGACTAGTCTATGTAGAGTTGGTTTGCTTTTGATACTCCTAAGATCTTAGATACTACTTGTAGAACAGGTATTGAAGAGCAGAGATATTTAACACAAAAGGAGTTATCTATAGGCATGGAATAGAAAAAAGTTACACCTTTTCACTGAAAAGGCACATTGCAGAGAGCTGAAAATGCTACATCACATAACAAAGACACCCCACTCTCCCCATCGGTTGTTTTGTGTCTTTTCTTTTCTTTTCTTTTCTTTTCTTTTCTTTTCTTTTCTTTTCTTTTCTTTTCTTTTCTTTTCTTTTCTTTTCTTTTATCTTTCAGTTTTTCATGGCAATTCAGGTTTAAATCAAACACAGCCTTTTTTGTTTGTTTACTTCTTAATTGGAAAACAAAAATATCACAATTATGCAGTCATGCTTTTTTAATTGAAAAGTGGGAAAAGCTTTCTTTTCTTTTCTTTTCTTTTCTTTTCTTTTCTTTTCTTTTCTTTTCTTTTCTTTTCTTTTCTTTTCTTTTCTTTTCTTTTCTTTTCTTTTCTTTTCTTTTCTTTTCTTTTCTTTTCTTTTCTTTTCTTTTCTTTTCTTTTCTTTTCTTTTCTTTTCTTTTCTTTTCTTTTCTTTTCTTTTCTTTTCTTTTCTTTTCTTTTCTTTTCTTTTCTTTTCTCTTTCAGTTTTTCATTGTAATTCAGGTTTAAATC